TGGCCAGCTTTTAGAGCTAACATGCAAGTTATGGGCTGCGCTAAATTATTGCAGTAAATGTCGCAGCGTTTTTCTTTCATGAAATATTTTGGCAGTGGGATTCGATATCCCGAAATCAGTGAGTGAGGATTTTACACAAATGTATTATTTAAAAAACGACTATGATATTGTGTGAAATTAGCAATAACGTATTTGATTACACTAAGAAAAACAGTTATATCACATATCCCGTTTATTTTGATATTTGCGATTTATATAGTCCATAGTTTATACAAGGGACGTACGTGCTAGGTTGTGAAAATGTATTGGTAGTTTATTGGTAGAGGGACATTCATAGATACAAAAACTATGGACATGATCAGGGCTAGATTTTCTTCGGAACACGTCCACAGGCAAGTACTGTCATTTGGAACTTTGCCCGGAACAGACATTTCAAAACCAGAGTAACCACAGCACGGACACAACGTGCGAAAGCTGAGGCTCCAGGACCATGTTACACGTGCACCACGGAGGTGTAACGAAAAGTCCGTGCTCATATCTCACAGATAGTGATTCACATGAGGGCGTTGGTACTCCTTGAAACAAAAGCCAAACACTCGTTTTAGAAACATATATATCAGAGTGAAATAGTGTTCCAAGACATACCTTAATTGCCAACCGAACACATGCCAATTACACTGGAAGTGTCTTATACCTCGGTAACAGCAAGTTATATATTGAAAGAAGATATTATGTTCCCTAACAAAATGCAATGTGTGCCGGGCGCGAAATCAAACGGCTCATCTGACAATTCAACGATGATACGTGAAATACATAAGTTGAGCAACGCTTGTTGTGAATCTACTCACCATTTTTCAGTAGGTTTCCCCTGACGAAAGGCGAAAGAGGGAAGATGAGTCGAACTGGTCTCCCACGAAACTTTAAGTCTTGAGCACTGTACCGTCCGCGTTGACGACTCCCTTGGCTCAATGCGTAGTGATACATTACTCTCATTGGTCAAATCTGCCTGATCACCGTACGTCAGTAGATTCAACATCTCACAACGCATATATAGTCCTACGTTCTGGAGATCGTTGTTGCAGATTGAAGATTTACATCCATACATGTCATAGCTTTTCATGTAATATATGGCATTAATGTTTGTATAGCTAGGTAACATAAGACTAGTAGGCATCATTTTAAGGGGCGGGGAGATAGCGTGGTTATTTTAGCGTTGGCTTTCAACACTGAAGGTGAAGTGAAAGACGTCGCGTTCACTCATTTTGCGACGTCCATACAGTGTATGTGGCTGCTAGTACTAGTCCGGACTAATGTCGATTTAATAGTGCTAGCCCAGTGAGATACCATGCCGCAGTTTAACATGAATACCCCACTCAAACTGCTAAAAGCGGTGTAAATCCTCACTCACTTATACTCATTTGGGTATCACACAAAATGATTACTTGATTTTACAGTGAAACACCGCAAAGCCACGCCCTGTAATATACGTTTTTCGTGTTTGTAATTTTGAGACGTCACGATTTTAATACGAGAACAGACCTACTGGAAATTTCCAGGTTAGAATAGGTCCCCAATAACATATGCCTGCCGTGAGAGTGAGTGAGTGAGTGAGTATGGTTTTACGCCGCTTTTAGCAATATTCCAGCAATATCACGGCGGAGGACACCAGAAATGGGCTTCACACATTGTACCCATGTCGGGAATCGAACCCGGGTCTTCTGCGTGACGAGCGAACGCTTTAACCACTAGGCTACCCGACCGCCCCTGCTGTGAGAGACGACAAAATGGATGGTAACTTGGTTGACTGCGTGGCCTCCTACCCGGCGGCGTACGTTGCTCATAATATCAGTCATTGGGGGAAAGGAAAACTTAGCAAATGGGAGTAGATGCCATTATTTTAAGCTACAGACTGTCATGAAGACGTAATTTACGAACAATTTGTAATTATTGGTTAGAATTTGTTATTCTAAATATTTTTACAAGAAACGTAGATTAAATTTAAAAAGGACGAGAAAAATATTTGAATCAAAATCTAGCCGCATTTTGGCATCTGCATAATTTTGATGTTGAAAAGTGTTTTGAACACAGCACTCACTCACTCACTCACATCTACCTTTGAACACATATGATGAACCAACGACGATCTGAATGAAGGGGAGTTATTCCCAGCACTCCCCCCACTTACCGCCTACTCACTATGTCAGGCTAGATGTCAGACCCAGCAATCCACCACGTGGATGTATGATGACTTAATGACCTGTAATATAGGGTTAGGGCTAGCGGTAGTGCCCTGATACAATATACGTATACTATGGTGTGCGTGAATATTCCAGCAATATATGACGACGGCCTGTAAATAATCGAATCTGAAATCCCCCGGAATCCCCACGGGCTATATATACTGTTAGTGAGTGAGTGATGTTATATGCAACATGTAAAAGGGTGTGGGATTAGGCATGTTAACCCCTAGAACCCCACGATGAAGCACTTAATTCTCCATCAAGTTGTTAACGGTCAAGTGTCATCGCCGTCTGTGTGTCATCGGTGTGGATCGCTTGCCATGTCTAACCACTCGTTTAGATGTAGCTGTAACATATATGTTGAGTAACACCTCCCACTCACTCATTTCTTACATCAATATATTTTGCAGCTACATGCAGTGGAGGTCTGGGTAGAAAATAGAAATGTAGCAACCCATGCTTGCCGTATGGGGCGACTGTGCTTGTCGTAAGAGGTTGGTTAGTTTGTTGTTTTACGCCGCACTCAGCAATATTCCTGCTATATGACGGGGGTCTGTAATTAATCGAGTCTTGACCAGACAATCCAGTGACTGATATCATGAGCATCGATCCACGCAATTGGGATCGATGACAAGCTTCAACCAAGTCAGCGAGCCTGACCACCCGACCCCGTTAGTCGCCTCTTACGAAGTTTAACATGAATACCTCACTCAGACACATTGCACTGACTCCGAGCCGACCAGTCCTTGCCCTTAATGCCAAGCGCCAGGAAAGGTAACAACAAGTACTAATTTTCTATGACGCGGCCAGGTGATTAAACCACCGACGTTCCGCTACCGGGGCAGAGAATGTGTCCATTCAAGAGGTGGTCATAGACGTTATTGTATCACTTGACATTCTTGTTACTTTGTGAAAAGACACAACTTGTTTTGAAAGCGATAACTAGGTTGGTTACCTTGTTGATAGATGTGACCACCCGACGTCCATTCTTGATCGCTATTGGATTCTGTTAAAACTTTCTGTCGATTGTATTTTGTCCTTTTGTGTCTAAACCAAAACTTGTTTGAATGAGCATATTATTAGACAGTACAATATAAAACCGGGAAGCGAAAGCGACCACAGTTACTGCGGATCATGGGGCCTTACGACACTACTGCTACCTGCATGCTACCCAAGCAGGATGCACACAATCCCTCTAGTTGCTGGCGATTGTCAACATGTTTACACAAAAAATAAAACCAACAAATACACTAAAACGAGATTGATGAGTGTCTCGGGGTAACAACTATTAGCAAACTTGGAACGCGGGGCATCCAAATGTTCAACACACTGTATCTTCAAAATTCCCAATGAACATGTTTATTGAAAAACCCCTTCCCACTTGCCCTTAAGATACTCTTTCTTGGAACATCATGCAACCGTCTTCAAAATGAAACCAGAATAATACTCCAAAACATGAACGTATCTGTAAATAAGGTACCATGGTTGATGTTGCTGATGAATACCATAATGATAGTTTTAAAGGTACATATTTTAAAAATGCTCGTAAATTGTACTTTTTTCTGTAGGAATACAGAAATCAATCAAGTATGCTATACTTCTTTGATCTGTTTAACTCTTCAACAATCTATGTTCAAAAGACACCTTGTCAATTTCCCGATATCATAATGAAAAATGTTAAGCTTCCGGTTAATCCTCTGTGTCAAAATTATATCTCTGTATGTATCTCATATGCAAAGATCCTCGGAACAGCGTAATGAAGTTCTGTTCTGTAACATTTTGGTTAGTACTTAAAGAGGCGTCAAACAATTTGACAGGGATATGTTTCATTAACAGTGTTGCATATTTAGTATTCCTGTCATCTGTTCACCAACATCTTGATTATGTGCCGCAGACAATTATCAGTTACGAAAATAGTTTACCTCACTCGTAACATTATTCTCATTAAAAAAAATATATGAAGGTCTCACTCCCTGGACAGCTGGACAACAAATATTCCCAAGTAATTTTAAGCACTTTTTGTGCAGCCTCACAATACATCTCCACTCGTGCACTGGGATATTGCGGGAGGGTTGTCTTTGTATTGGAGTAGGTACACATCACTGAATAGTGATCTGGGTCGTGATATGTCACAACACATTACTTATTTTGTTCGTAAGCATCTACGTTTAAACATTGTTGAGGTACAATCGAGCATGCCCATTCTACGAAGATCTCAAAGACCACCATACGACTTTTGTTCAAAAGTTGAAATCCTTCAAAAAATTGTGGTAGACATGTGGAGGACATTTCACAAATTGTGTATTAGTGCCAAAAATAATGTGTGATTCAATTCCCTATTTTGACTTCTACCATATGTTACTGTATTTTTGTTTAGTTGAACACTTGATTTACCTGTGTTTGTGTAGGGTGTCATCATATCACGTCATTTGCTGGCGCCAGTCTGTATTTAGCAATTTATTTAGCCCGTGAGAAACTACCAATAGTTCGTAGTGATTCTGATGCGTTTATATTAATTTTGAAACAGGGTTGTTTTAGCCAGATATCAATTTCTGCACATTCAATTGACCACAACTATCCTTTGAGATAACTTGAACCGACAATTCTGAAGACGAAGTTGGTAATATTGTGATACTTAAAACAACGCGTTGTACATATTATGGCACAATAGGTTAGAGTATAATTATCGAACTGTTCTGAGGCATGTCGGAATCTGGCCCTGCGAATTAACGAATCATAATGTCAACCACGATAGAGAACAGCAAAAGCCGGATACGTGAATGACCTTTCAGACGGCGAATTGGGGTATAAAGCAAACGAGGTCTTCACACAGCAGCATTGCAAGACCCCGGGACACACAGTGGGAAGCTCCGGAACAATGTTGTCCACCTTTGTCCTTCTCGCAATAACTGCATTGGGTGAGTTTAAGTTTTACATCTTAGCGTCCGATCACATACCTCGCATAGTTCATTGGTAATATAGGTCCGTTAAACTGGCATCATAAAAGACGTGGTGGACTTATTACCTTTCGCTAACATGCAGTATGCCTTACAAACAACCTTCTCCATTTCATCACTTGTAAAGTTCGGAATTAAAGACGATACCATAGTAATGTGTTATTGTGTGTGTGAAGAAAGACAGGGTCGAACAAATCCTACCAACCCCCCCCCCCCCCCCCCCCAATGACATGTTCACTAGTTTTGTACTGTATTCAGTGCGCTTGTATGGTGTCTTGATTTATAACAAATCCCTTTGCAAATATTTTAAAAATGCTCCCCGCACACCGCTTAATTTACTTACATGATCTTTTTGACTGATTTTGGCCTTACCTCAATATTTGGTGTTACAAATATGACACTGTCGACTGTAATTCGATGTGCACATTTCGTAATAAATCGTCCACTCTAATTGTGAATTTGTTCCAATGAAAGAAACACAAACTAGCGTTGTCTGATATTGAATGGTAGAATGTGCAGAGGCTGCAGCGCTCATTGCAAGAGAAATGTTTCCGTAACCTAAGCGCTCATTGGTTAGAACACTGTCTGGACCCAGGGCGTGTCTTGGTTACAAATGTGGCTGCATCGCAAAGCGATGTATGTATGTGATGGAGTACAGAGTGTTCAGAACCCCGTGTATTGATGAAGGTGTCAGTGGTGTCCTTGCAGAGAAGATAAACTGATGGTTTTGTTCACTGTGAATCTGTCTTTCCGGTGAATGGGTGTATGCTTGTTTTTAGACCAACCATCGACACCTTAAGCGAAAACAATATTGCCAATGAATAATTGATAAGAATTGTTATATTAGGTGCAAAACAATGTCACCAAATGACTAAGTTATATAATTGTTTGTGCCTCAGCATCATTAGTACGCTTCAAAAAAGTGTGGATGTGCGTTTTCCAGCTGTACACCGCACCGCACCGCACCGCACCGCACCGCACCGCGCCGCGCCGCGCCACGACACGACACGCCACGACACGCCACGACACCACACCACACCACACCACACCACACACCCATCCGAGGCAGGGGAATAGAGAAGGCCTGCATTTGTTCTTAGAGTTACCAGCCCATCCTGCAATCAAGATATTTGAGTCTAAAACATCAAACCTTCTGGCTACGATTTACTTCTCTCACTCATGAACTCATTCCCAAACACCGCCGAAGGGTTTCTAGTTCAGATGCACTACCATAATAGGAATGGGGGTATTTCTCAATGTGTTCAAGCAATTTCAACTTTGAGTATTAAACAGCAGCTGGTGTAGTAGTCACTAGTCAGTGGCAGTTCAACATATAATTGACCGACCTATACAAGGGCACATCAAGAAGGTTAACAGCAGGAAATGTGTGATTTAATAGAAGTAATTACTTGCCAAACTGATATGACGAAAAGGTCACGTTCGTCGTCCCCATTAACAGAATTATGCTTATTAATACTCAGACGTATCCAGGCCAACAAACCTGATCTTGTCCTTTTTGATAAATCCAATGAAATCATTAATATATCATTGAATTTTCTATCCCTTTTGACTCTAATGTGATTGACAAGATTGAGGAAAACATGGCAAATATGCGGACCTCGCTTTCGAAATGTCACGCTTGCATCCCAATTAAGTACCAAGTTGTCCGACTCCCCATTGTTCTCGGTGCCTTTGGTTTGGTACCTCCCAATCTGTTGACTGACATTGGGAGAGTAACCGGGTTTGCTACCAGGAATACATCCCTTCTGGCAATCTGGCAGTGTTGGGGAGTCTTCACATTCTCCGAAAAGTTCTGGGTGTGTTTGACTTGGCAGCGCTTCCTGGGAGAAGTCTGGGCTGCGTGTGGAGGGGGCAAAGGCCCTGAGCTGATGATGATGATGATGATGCCTAACCAGCCTGACTGTGCCAGGGTCACCCAAACCCTCTTTGCTGCATTTTTATTTTAATTTGTACATAATAATAATAATAAGAAGAAGAAGAAAAAGAAGAACATGAGTTAGACGAGATTCACTCTAAAACAACTCTGCTTGCTCCATGCTGTAGATGTTTCCAAACTTTAAAATGCGCCAAATTCAAAACTCATAGCGCTAGATGTATATCAATTCCCCTGTAAATGGATCAGTGTCAAGCAGACTGTGATTACTCATTGTTGTATAGTTGATGTTTCCAGGTGGCTGTACTGACATCCATTCATTTATTGATACAAATGTACTTGGATCATTCTGATTCATTCACCAAGTATACTCAAACCAAAAGATACTGTGAGTGAGTGAGATTTATTTAACAGCAGTTCAGTTTTATATTTGTTGTATCACGGCGTGTCAGCTTGATGTAGGAGGAAAGGTGTAATGCACGTCCGAGACGCATAACGTTTTTGGTTAATCCAAAGAGCACGAGTATGGTGCAGACAAACATACACACGACGAACCGGGATTCGAACCCAGGACAAAATGCTTCTCAGGAACGCAACTCTACACAGCGAGCTGCGGCGCCTTTGTTGAAACTTTGTTGATATTAGATATAAATAATTTGATGACTGAAAATGTATAATTAAGACAATAGGGACTACATGTAAACTGCCTGACAAAAGAAAGTATCACTCATAGTTGATGGTGGCTAAAAATAAAATAAACAGGAATTGGTTACTTGATCGTGATGTATTTGGTAAGGGTATCATAGTTGAGTTTATTGTGTTTCGACGACTGTTTTCACCCAAGTAAGGTTTAAATAACGTGTGTAATCCTTCGTTCAAGTGTATTCTTTCATTAGCCCGGCAGTCTATATGATGTTACAGTTTCTATAAAACCAACGTCATAACACATTTATCTTTCTAATTTAAGCCTATAATTCCAATATATTGATAACAAGTGCAACACAAACCACGAACACAAACACATCAAACCACAATGCATCAAACGTTACCTCCTGTCCAGTGAAAATTGAGACTAAACTACCAATTTCTCAGAATCCCTTCACCGTGGCTTAGGTTGGTATGGCTTTAAACTGTCCAACTCCCATATCAAAAGATCCCTTGGCAAATAAAAATGTTTGTGAACCCTTTCCATATTCACACTATAAATACACACGGAATTCAAATAAACCGCCTTTTTGTATAATTGAAAGACAATTTACAAGTCAATTGAAGAATCTTCTTTGAAGGTGGACACTATCGAAAAAGGTTTTTGTCGTCTGTGGGACATGTTTTGGAGATCTCATCGCTTTGGAGACTGGATAATAATCACATATAGATCCTATATTTAAAATTATCAATACAAATACATTTAAGATATTATTCTAAAATGGACCAATTAACGTCAAACTTAAATATGAATAAATAAAGTCGGATGTAACTCATTTTATTAAAACAACCATTTCACCTTTCACATCATCAGTGTAAACATTCTAACAATGTATTCCTTTACAGCCAGCGTCAGTCGCGGTCAAGAATGTGTACAGACTGCCCCGACGGAGCTGGCGAGATGTTCTGAAGCGATGAACGCTTATTCCCCGACGGAATTAGCAGGGGGGACGCCTGGCTTCTGCAGGTGCGTGTGACGGAGAGGTTGGGGGTGGGGGATGGGGAACCTTACATGACGGATCCCTGGACAAGATCACTAAGGGTTGAAGCATAAGAAATAAGAAACCTCTTCTGAAAGCGGAAGCCATTTTCCGATTCCGAATATATCATGAACATGTGTTTATGAATCAATATCAAATAGTGATGATACCAGGTGTTCGCTAATAGGTGAGCGAATACTTCCCGACCAGTGGCACCCGTTGAGTCGGTTGTTCACCTGCAAAAAACACGCGAACACCTGGAACAAGTCAAATCATTTTTGTCCCTGATGCGCCGAATTTGGAAACGGCATCCGTATGCCTGTCATGCTTACGTACGATAATAATTGTGAATACCAAACCTATGCATCTACTGTACGCGCTTTTTGGTTTTCACATGGATTTGGATTTGTATGCATTGCTCAGTGTGTTGGAGATAAATCTGCTTTTCTTAGACTGTATAGAAAGGTGACAACTGATATGTATCATCATTACAGAACATACTTCAAGATATAACATATATACAGAGTTTAAGAGCCTCGCCCTTTTTAAAGATAGAACATAGCGTAATATGTTGATAAGACCGAGAACGGGGGTTTGAGGCTGAAAGTTGAAAGGATATGGTGGAGGACTGATTTATGTTTACGTTTATGTCCTCTTTGTAATCTAGGGATAGAAGATGAATATCATTTTATCTTAATATGTAACTCCTATGAGAACATCAGACACCTCTATCTGCCTAAAATGTATTGCCATAATGCGAATATGTATAAATTTAGATCACTTCGAACGATGTAAGGTTACTAAGAAACATATATTAAAACCGTGTCAAAGTTATGACATGAGACAAAGTTTTGCAAACACTAGAGTACTATGACATAAGTTAATTATTAATTCATGTACCATTGTAATATGAATATGTGCACTTTATCTGTATATGGTCCAGTGGACTTCATACGAATTAAAAAGTTCACTGGGGCCTTGAATAAGGTAACCCTGATCAAACATTTTTGTTAGCAAGAGTCGCATCCCGTGTCGCGACTTGCCCCAACAGCCAGAAATGACATCTCGACGTTGGATTATATTGCATAAAGACCACTCGTGGCATCCCTGGTCAAACCAAATCTTCAAAACACAAAGACCGCCCCCATGGTCTAGTGGTAGAGCGTCCGCCCAGAGAGCGGAAGGTCGGGGGCTCGATCACCGGCCGCGGTAAAAGACGTTAAAATATGGTAATTGTTGGTACCCTGCCTGGCGCTCACTATTAAGGAGCCAAAACAAAAGGACTGGTCGCTTCGAAGTCAGTATACTGTGTCTGAGTGCGGTACCCGTATGTATATATACTCGGTTTCTTCGTATTTTTTCAGAACTTTCAGCCAAAGTTAAACTGACTTTATTCTACAGATTATTAGAAACTAACAGTTATGTGATTTGTCTATTTACAGAGATGCCAAGCAGGCAATTAGTTGCATGCAAGGCGTTTTGGGAGGGTGTCCACCATTGCGTGCACACATGGGCCAAAATGTGGAAATATTTGAGAATAGTATCTTCCGAAGGTGTAAGTATATAGAATCAATATTGTCTCCAAAGATTGTAGTCAAAACAGAATTTGAGATGTACTGACATCAGAGAATCCAATCGATCGATTGGTTGAGCCATTTAAGAAATTACTTCAACATATTTCACTTATGTCTGCACATCCATAAAGACAGAAATAATCGTCAGGTTCAGTCAGGGTAATGACTTCATCAAAACAAGCCTTTATCTTTGTGAAAGGAGCAGCCGTGCAAGCACATTTTATTCAGGACTAATACACGATCAATTATACTTTTCAATCTTATCGTATATTTTATCTGCCGATCTTTATAAGGTCCGGATGTGCCAGACGCTCCTGGCACAGACGCTCCTCCTGTTCCAAGTCCTGCCCCAACTCCTGCTCCAACTCCTGCTCCAACTCCTGCTCCTGCTCCAACTCCTGCTGCCCGATGTTCCCCTAGAGATGCTGAGAGGATACAAAGATGCACTAATAGACTGCATAGATTTCTGGGCAAATCGACTGTAAAATGCAGGTAATCCAGAGCAAAACATGATCAATTACGTATCTCTGCATCTATTTTTTTTCGTGATGAACTGATTGAGTTTTCAGTTATCCCGGCACCTGACTGTATTAGACATATTAGTAACATGATGACAGCCGCATTAACTGCCTATAGATTCACTGTCGATACACAACTATAATTGAGATTTATCCTAACGAATGTTTAATGATGACAGAAAAGTGAGACGAACCATGGATTGTCTGACTACAACCATCCAGCGATGCTCCCATCTGATAGACCCTGCAGAGCTCCGACTCGATTTACTACGCGAACACCTTATGCAAGCATGTAAGTGATGTGAATAGTCTAAGAGAAAAGAGAATAGTCTGTGGCCCGAGAGATCGGTCTGTGGGGAAGAGATTGATCTGCGAGTGGTGAACATGGTCAGTGAGTGTTGAGAATGGTCTGCAGGTGTGCGTGCGTGCGTGCGTGCGTGTGTGTGTGTGTGTGTGTGTGTGTGTGTTGAGAGGGGCCTGTAAGTTAATTAATGGTCGATATGTTGGGAAAATGGTCTTTATGTGGAGTGAAACTTCTGTAGGTGGAGAGAATGGTCTGTGGGAGGAGGAAGTGGTCTGTAAGTGGGGAGAATGATCTGCACAAGGAAGAAATAGTCTTTGAATGGGGTGAATGGTATGTAGGTGGAGAGAATGGTCTGTGGGTGGAGGAAGTGGTCTGTAAGTGGGGTGAATGATCTGCACAAGGAAGAAATAGTCTTTGAATGGGGTGAATGGTATGTAGGTGGAGAGAATGGTGTGTGGGTGGAGGAAGTGGTCTGTAAGTGGGGAGAATGATCTGCACAAGGAAGAAATAGTCTTTGAATGGGGTGAATGGTATGTAGGTGGAGACAATGGTCTGTGGATGGAGGAAGTGGTCTGTAAGTGGGGAGAATGATCTGCACAAGGAAGAAATAGTCTTTGAATGGGGTGAATGGTATGTAGGTGGAGACAATGGTCTGTGGATGGAGGAAGTGGTCTGTTAGTGGGGAGAATGATCTGCACAAAGAAGAAATAGTCTTTGAATGGGGTGAATGGTATGTAGAGAGAATGGCCTGCGGGTGGGTGGTGAGAATGATATGTAGGCGCAGAGATGAATGTGGTCTTTTAGTTGAAAAAATGGTCTTTGGTTTGAGAGAATGGTCTGTGAGCGATGATAATAGTCCGAACATTATATAAGTTAAAAACATAAAACACAACATATATTCTAACACGCCACGTCTGCTTGTGCTTCAGGTGTTGAGACAAATGAGTTGCCTGAAGAACCTACAGATCCGCTACAGATAGGAGGGGTTGAAGAAGAAGAAGAAGAAGAAGAGGAAGAAGAAGAAGAAGAAGGGATGGAAGCGTGTCCTGCTGACTTTGTATCAAGACTACAGAGATGCATGCAAGACATGAACCAGGCATTAAACATTGCTGGATCAGGGGCGGCAGATGGAACTGAGACATGCAGGTTAGCGGGAAAGAAAGGTTGAAACGGCAACCGGTATCATTTGATCGAAAACTCTGGAATCTTAAATACTACTACTACTACTACTACTACTACTATTACTACTACTACTACTACTACTACTACTACTACTACTACTACTACTACTATACTAATACTACTAATACTATTACTAATATTAATCATTATAACAAGGCATTCCACAGTTTTCTTAAACGACCCAAGGATGTGGGACATAATCTCAATGTCAGTGTTGATTTTGTTGATGGTCCTGCACTGCACTGGGCGGTACAGAATTGAGAGCGAACCAAGTGAAGTGCCATATCAAATCGGCCGAGACTACGTTTTTCAAGGAGAGGCTCTCTGAACAACCACTGCATCGAGTTTATGTACAGTGTGTTGAGAAGATCAGCAACCCTGCAGTGTCTTTCGCTTGGATGAGGTGGGCTGACCTGAAAAAGTGAAACAGTTTGCTGCTCAGGACCAGTCACTTGAAGGGTGCAGTGTTGGGGGTGGCGGGGGTGGTGGTGGGGGTGGTGGTGGGGTGTGTGTGTGTGTGTGGGGGGGGGGGGGGGGGGGTGTCTTCACATTCTCCGAAAAGTTCTTGGTGAGTTTGATTAGGCAGCGCTTCCTGGGAGATAACCAGCCTGACTGTGCCGGGTACACCCAATCCCTCTTTGTTTCGTTTACTTAAGAAGAAACGACGAACGATATGTACTGAACCGCAAAATAAACGTCACCCCAAGTGATATTGCATGAAAAGTTGTCATTTAAATATCTGGGTAATGTTTGTCAAAGTTTCTGAAATTTAACATTACCTTGTCCGGAAAAATGAAATTTGATGATTAAACAACAAAGCAGATGACAATATAACCGATCGCCCAAACTCATCACGGCAACGGCTATGGTGACCCGATGCAAATGCGTTGAAATGCACATGCGTTCCCCCATTTCTTGCCCTATAAAAATCCATCCAGATCGGATAACATTCATTCGTTATTGAATTGCTACCACATGCCAAGACTGACAAGAAATCAGCGACACCAAGCCCTTGGACGGTTGCAAGCTGGACAAACCGCCCGGCAAGTAGCCAATGCATTTCAAGTCCATGTAAGGACCATATACAGGCTCCACGGTACCAGACCACCAACACTACAGATGACCGACCACGTAGTGGAAGACCAAGGGTCACCACCCGTCTTCAGTGGGCAACACAGCACCAGCATTGGCGCCACCAGCAGTGGAGTCCTCATCTCAGACGAGAGCCGTTACTGTATCTCAACAGCAGATGGCAGAGAGAGAGAGAGAGAGAGAGAGAGAGAGAGAGAGAGAGAGAGAGAGAGAGAGAGAGAGAGAGAGAGAGAGAGAGTCTGGCGAACATTATTCGGATGTTTGTGTTGTTGAGAGAGACTCGTGGGGTGGTCCGAGCATCATGGTTTGGAGTGGAATTTGTCCTGAACAGAGGGTCGGCCCTGTGGTCTTCCAGAACATCGGTCCAGGGAGAGGCAATGGTGTCACAGCAGCTCGGTACATTGATCAAGTCTTGAGACCACACGCCATACCTCATTTGGCACGTCGCCGCACCCACTAGTTTCAGCATGATACTGCCTGTGCCCACACTGCGAGAGCAACAAGAGACTTCCTCCAGCAGAATGGCATCAGAACCATGCAGAACCATGCTGCCCTCAGTCCTGATTAAAATCCCATTGACGCCCGCGGGACGAGATTCAAAGACGGCTGAATGACGTCCGACCAAGGCCGACGACTAGTGTTGTGTTTCCCTTTAAGAACATTCGACACTTTAATTTCAACCTTGATGATCAGTTTTGCCAAGTTTCATCTTTTTAATATGTCTCAAAGTATGTTTACAGTGTTTGGAAAAATCAGGTTTCTCGTAAATCTATCTATCCATGGTGACGTTTCTTTTGCGGTTCAGTATATGTGTCACTGTGATTCCTTGTTTCAGCTCTGTGACAACTTCCTTGGACTGTGTGGCTGACTACATGCAGGTTTGCAGTGACAAACCAGAGATGGTCCAACTGTCTAATATGCTGAATATGAATCACACGAGGACCTACGTGGCTCAGATATGTCAGTACCCTTTTGTTTGGCATTCAACTATTTCTGTACACTTGCTTTTGAACTGAAATTTATGGCATTATTACTACGTGTGTACTTTAGAAGAACACAACTAAAAAGGAATGATCTCTTCCCAGAATAATTTACATCCACACTACACCAGAAAAGCACATTACCGTCCGCCCCTGGAGGAACGCTATCCGTTCGCGTTACACTTTTTAAAGATTACTCTATCAACTGGCCTCGGTAATATTATGAACCTGTAAAAAACAACACAAAACACCACATATTGCAAATACATCTGGTGGGAATGCTGATATAGTTTCCAGTTTATTCAATAAATAAACACGTCCAAAAAGCTAAGAAGGCTAGTATCTATTACCTTCCCTATGCCTTTGCCTTACGTTCAACACGTTCAACGCACCTTCCACCACGCATTCACCACACGTTCGCAACGCGTTCGGCTCGCGTTCCTTCCGAACATGACCTCAAGGGGCCCCAATGCGTGATTCCTTACCCGTTTCTCACCTTTGGGTCACTTGTCCATCACGTGTGAATATACCGTACCTTGTGTAAACGTTGTATATGAAAGCGATAAAATCCTTCCCATAATCTTGAGAAATCCATGACTATCATTCTCATAAATACACATCAGAACGTTTTAAATGTGCGTCCGAAAATTACTTCGGTATGTTAAGGGATAACATTCTTAATAAATACTGATTCTATGTTGACTTGAATTATCATCATCTTTCGGAAAAACGTGATTTCGAATCAGTTAATACCTTGAAGAAGTACATTTATCATCATCATTTACCGTTTGGGTGAGATCAAGGGCTATGAGAGACATAACTACTTTGCACATCATTGTGACGTCATCACTTGCGATTACGTCACTAACAAATGACAACACTTAGCTCTCTTAGCCACTGAAGGCACTGGTTATTTCTGCTTACAAACTGAAAAAGATGGGGAAATGATTTTGGATGATAAACAGAATCTCACCCGAGTGTCTTATATATGAAATGTATCAACACTGGATAAAGGTGTGAAACTCCTCGACAAGCCTCGGAGTTTATGCTTCGTGTTCATATATTTCAGGGGGCACGGGTGGCCCAGTTGTCTAAGGCGCCGCGATTCGCTGTGCAGAGTTGCGTCCCTTGGGCACGCCAGAAACCTATGATTGTGGGTTCGGTTCCCGGTTCGACCCAATTATGTTTCTAGGTTTGTCAGCACCATACCCGTGCTCGTGGGTTTCACTGAAGACCTGCATCACCTCGGGCTTTCCTCCCACATTAAGCTGACACGCCGCGATATAACTGTAATACTGTTAAAAGCGGCGTTAAAACCCAACTCACTCACTCACTCATATATTCCATATAAAAAACACACGTGGAACTTATCCGATTAGGTAATTGAAGTATTTATGTAACTAACACAGATAATGTTGTATAGGTCCTGGAGCAGGCCCCACTGCTGGTCCTGGTGAGGGCCCCGTGGAAGGTGAGTACCATGTCATAACACCACCATGTCTTCATTCCTGCTGAGTATATTATCATAACATTATTGTTTTAGACATCATACTATTTCTGTTCCGTCGTAATGCCATGTTGGCGATGGTGCAGCTTTGTTTGAAAGATTTCTTTCTCTATGTGAAGCCCATCTCAAGACTATTGCTTTAATCAGCGTTTTGGATATATCTTTTATTAACGATATGTTTTAAATCTGCTATTTGTAAACTGCACAACATGATCTTTGTGCTTACTCCATTCTAATATATTAGATGTATAATATAAAATATATAACACATGTGGTTGTGACGATACTCGGCACGCACACGTTGTACCACGCATAACTGCTGGGATAGGAATAAAGTAGGAACCTTCTATTGATAATCAAACGTTGCCGGCCATGCAGCCATTACTGACAGAATGGTGTCTCCTTTTTGAAATGACTATAAAACTTCAACGCCAGTGGATAACTAGTCTCGTTTATCTGACAAAATAGATTTCATTGAGCGTAAAAGGTGAAAATTATATGAATGGATCACTGAAATCAGGGATGACAATAGGCATTCGCGAATAACACAATAGCCAGCCAGTATTAGTGCCTCTCAGTACCCTCGACATGGAAGCATATTGTTTGATGTTTTGTATTACCGAGTGTGCACCTCGCACATGTTGGATGACACATTAAAATATATGGTTTCAGGAAATAAAGTTGCACTCTAAATTAGGTCCATTATCATCACGTTTATTTAGATTTCTGGATGATAATGAATATTGTTACGGGAAATGTTTAACATTTAATGCATTCCACTAATGCTAGGCATTAAAATCTCAGTAACAACCGCATATCCGAAAACACATGATATTTACCTCCACAAGTCCTACTTTACTCCCGGTCAACCAGCGACAGTTAGTCTCGCGGATACTTCTAAAAAATCCACAATCTTCCCCACACACCATTCCCCCTCCATCCACCCGCTCCCTCTACCTCGTATACACAAACAGGCATTCGCACGCACGCACGCACACACGCACACACGCACACACGCACACACACCACGGTCCTCAAATATATTCAGCATTACGCATTTTCTTCCTCAGGGAACAGTGACTGTCCAGCAGATCATTTAACAAGAATGCAGACCTGCGTGGCCGCTTTGGAGAATCTGAACCCGCAGGAGTTGGAGATGAACGATGAAAATTGCGGGCAAGTAAATTATAGACGCCATTCACAATATGTTACAGTTAGCGGAAAGCAAGTAAACAAATTAAAGGTGTCATAACATGTAACGAACATGTTACCATGTTACGAACCATCCAAGATGGCAATAGTTGTCATACAAGGTAACAATAGGATGGTTTCTAGATGGTTTCTACCGCACCCTTGTATTTTTATTGCTTTTGTGTATTATATGTAAACTTTCCTCGGGTTGTTAGCTGCCGTTGAGGCAGTAACTAATTAACAACTTATTGTAAAAATAAAACATCTTTTTAAAGTGCTAACACTGCACCCTATCATGATGGTCTTATTCGTGGTATCGGATTAAAGTCGGTAAAACAACACACTTAATAGGCTTGCGGGTGAAAGTCCACCAGAACGGCGGTTTTCTACTCCGACGTCCGCGCATTGTAATCCTCGCGTATATAAGTTTCCCCCAAGAGATTTCCCCCAAACTGGTAAACAGTTTGTATGGCAGTTTGTATGGCAGTGTTGGTGCCTCGACGAAGTTCAAAGACTGGCGTGGCTGTCTTGCTGTGCAAACAAAGCTGGTTACGTAACAGGTAGTTTGACTCGATGTCTACAAATGTATTTATACTGGCGTCGTGGCAACTTATACTTGTCCAGGTTTTTTATTGCTTACCTCAATCCTTAATGCTTGCCCTTGGTTGTTATTGTCTGGTATTAATACATTCTAAAACTATCATTTGGTTTATCTTAGTCCATGCGCTTTAATTCAATAAGTCTGTCTATTTATATATTTTTCGACCTCCCGGGTATATGCCACGTTAATATTTTGACAATTACGAGTCGGTTCCTCTATGGGTGAGGCGTTACTCCAGCGTAGGCAGCGTTGTCGTTAGTGAAACACCGGGATAATGTACTATACACGTTTGGAAGAGATGCACTTTTCATTCTACAAAAGGGGACATTCTGGGTAGGATAAAACAAGTTAACAATGGGTGCATATACTGGGCAAGTTTAATTTGTTCCTGTCAGGTTTTTAGTCAACTTCTGTAGCCTGGACGGCTGTTGTTTATTATCTGGACATGCCCACCAACTGTGTTCAGGAATCTTGCTGTTGTCTGGTCTTCTGCTGGATGGTTGTGTGGGATCAGGTTTCTAACTCGCCAACTGTTGTACATTTACCAGAACATCCTATATCTACACATCTCAAATGGATAAATGTCAGTCACTATTATTTGGCCTGTGTCTAGAACCATTTAGACTAACCTGTCTTCGTCCTGTTTGGGACGCAACATACCATGTACATTTGTTGTTGTCGCTTTAAGTGTTAAAGAAGTCGCCTCCTGTCTTAACAATGTCTGCTGACCTGACCTGGGACTCATGTGTGTGAGTAGGGTACACATATCTATTGTGAGTTTAAGTATTGATAAAATTTCTGCCTTTGTATTAATAAGGGTTCCATTTTCGTATTGATATGATTTAATGTTTGATTTTTAGAAATTGATAGACCTTCTTTGGCTGCTCTGTTTAAATACGACCAAGAAACTCTCAGAAATAGAGCTGGTTGGATCACGTGACTTTAGGAGATCTTAGACAGATAGCGGATCTAACTGCAATTCTTGTTTTAAGCGAACAGGCTGGACATGGGCTAGACATTCCAGTGACAAGTGAGCAATGGATTCAGGTTGATTGCAAGATGTGGGTACCTTGGTATGGTGCTTTTGTGACCGAGCCTGAGGCGTGAGATGGCTACAATAACTTTCTCATCATTTGAGCATGAGCATGGCTTTTTGTGGATTTGGTGTTGAAGTTTGTATAGCCATCTGCAGATCTTACTTGTGTCCAATTGGCCTTGCCATTTGGGGCTATGGGGGCTTTGGGTTTTTATCTCTAATTTGATAAAGGGTACTGCTGTTGATCTCATGTTGTGCACTAAGCGAGTCTGAGAGGTTGACTGGCTTTGCTTCTGGTAGTTCCAGTATGAGTTTGAGTGCATGATGAATTGCCTCCAATTTAGCAGTGAAGACAGAATGACTGTCAGTCAGGGGAACGGAATGTGATTGATAGGATTGTTAGATCCATCAGTGTATATACGGGCTCAGATTCCCCAGGTTGTTTGAATTCTAGTGATAGCTCCTGTTCGTAGTTGGGTGGGGTTTAATTTTGTCCTGACTTCTGATGTTAAAGCACTGTCAACTTTGGGAGTTGTTATAGTCCAGTAAAGGTGTAACCCTTTGTAGTGGCTTTCTGGCTGTTCAATGCCATCACAATTGTCACTTCAGATGAGTTCACGTACTGTGGTGTCACGTTTTTTCATTTAAAAGGGTGAACCCTATTTATTACCCCATTGATCAACTCCACCCAGGGCTGACTGGAGTGTTGGTCGGATGTGTTAAATATTTGGGTAGGAGACTTGACATGATCAAATAAATCATTGATGATGATGTGAGCAACATGCCGTTGTCCAGTTGTCCAGCATATGATCAGATTGATTGTTCCCTTTTTTAACAATGATACTGCACTGTCCTGCAGGAAGCTGTCTATAAAGATTTCCATGTTTCTTTCTACTCCATTTCTACTCGAAAGCTTTGCACAAGTCCAGAAATACTGCGGCTAGGTATTGTCTATTTAATTGGGCTATTTATTTAATTTTCCAGTCTTAGTATGTCCCTTCCCGAAGCCTCTTTGATAAGGTTTGATGTGGTTGCCAGTTTCAAGGTGATGCATGAGCCTTAGCTTTGCGTCATGTTTCAAGCGAGTAAGACAGCTCTAAAAGTGTTTAGTGGGGCGGAACAACTGTTGCATATTTCCATAATTTTGTGACTTCTCCTTTGGACCTTTTGGTTTTATCTGGTATGTTTTTCAATATCTCGTAACTGGTTGTGTCAAGACCAGGTGCAATGCCTTTTCTATGCATCATCAATCTGTCACAGTAAATGGTATATTGGAGACCAGATGCTTGCTTTGCGGATGTTATTATATCATAGGCAAAAGCATTTTTCCCCTGAAGGAATTCTTTGCAATTATTGTGGCTACTGATCGATAAGAATTTGGCTAACTTGGGATTTTTTGTAGATTTAAACTTACCCCTGATCGTGTGTATTTTGCTCCAGACTGTTTCAGGATTTGTTTTTATTTAGAAATTTGCAGACTGATTTATCCCTTTTTGACCCATTAACGACTTTCTTTCTCAGTCTCCCAACTATTGCTATTTCGTTGTTCCACCATGGTGTCGAAGGTTTGATGTTTTTGTGGGCTTTTTAGGAACTGATGTTTCAGCTGATGCAATAATTGCTGAGGTGAAATTTGACAAAAAATATCAGAATTACCCGAGGCAATTTCTGAGGACTTGAATGATGTACATTCCTCCCTGAATATGGGCTAAGCAGCCTTTGTATAGTCTCAGGATTGGGTTGTTCCCCCTAATTGTGGTGTGACAGCTATGTAGGTGAGTATAGGAAGATGGTCGCTTCCCCAAGTGACATCATTGATCTTGTTATTGGCAATGTGGGGCGAGGTTCTAATTGGCATTTGTGAGGTCAATTGAACTCCATGTTTTCCGGACATGGTCAAAACATGTGGGACTGCCGTTGTTTATAGTTGTGCTATTGTCGTCTTCAACCCATTTCTCTACGTATTTCGACTCGTGAAGATTCCGGGGTAGAATAGGTATTCAGCAACCCATGCTTGCCGTAAAAGGTGACTGCTTGTCGTGAAAGGCGACTAACGGGATCGGGTGGTCAGGCTCGCTGACTTGGTTGATGCATGTCATCGATCCAAATTGCGTGGATCGATGCTCATGACATCAATCACTGGATTGTCTGGTCCAGACTCGATTATTTACAGACCGCCGTCATATAGCTTGAATATTGCTGAGTGCGGCGTTAAACAACAAACCAACCAACAAAAAGTCTACGTATTTGCATGAGTCCTACCTGTCTTCCCACAAAAGAGTGTGGGCATTAAAGTCACCATTTTGAGCTAATATTGTTAGTCCTTCCGTAGATATTTTTGGGTAACCGTCAGTTATACGTAAGCGATACGTAATTTCTTGTCATTTGGCAGTTTTAGGGATATTCCTTTGGGGTCAAGGTTTCCTCAATTTGTTTCGATAGTTGTGGACGTGCAGCTGTCGTAGACAAGGGCGATAAGTCTTCCTTCCTTGTTACCTGGTATAAGTCTTTTTCTGTCTTTTCTATATTGGGTGTACCCAGGTAATGGGAACTTGGAATTTTCGCTGAGATTACTGTCCTGTAATAGAATGACATGTGGCCTTTTCACCTGTTTTTTTAAGGGCATTAAGGCCGTTCCACTGTAACAACGGCTTATTGAATCTTAGGCCTGGGGCATACCCCTTTTTGGGAACTGATTTCAGAAGCCAGATTGAGGAAGCAGGTGGCTTTGGCTTTGACACTCCTGCTTGTAATTTGGATCAATGCCATGGAACTGAACTCCACAACTTTGTTCATGATCTGAGCCTTTTGTTTACCATGGTTATTTACTCCTATTACATTTTTGTGCTTCAGGCCTTTAGCCAAGACCAATCTTAGTCTTTTCTGTTCGATTTTATCTTATAAAAGCAAGATAGTTTATATTATTCGGCTATTTCCAAGATTAAATGTTAATAAGGTTGTTCTCCAATATAATGAAGCTTGAACCTGTTATCTATCAAGTGAGGGATGGGATTAATTGACTGGAGACGAAATGAAATGTAGTCGAAAGAAGGCTGCACCAAATATAAAAATAGGCAACAGGCAAGATAACAAAATGCAACAAACAAGATAATATTAGGAGACAGACATGATACAAACAGGTGACAGATCAGATAACAATAAAAGGCGACAGACAAGATAATAATAGGCAAAATATAAGATAACAATAGGCACAAGACAAGATAAAAACAGACAACAGACAAAATAACAATAGGCAACAAAGAAGATAGCAATTAGGACAAAATTCAAAGACGCCATAGGGGAAACTCAGATTCTGCGCAGGCTCCATTACCGCGAGCTAATCTAAACTCAAATGATCAGGGGAGCACATCGATGTCGTTGATTCTATAACACTTAATTCTATTAGTTACTGGTATGTCATTTCCAGATGCAATGTCTTCCTGATTGCATAAAATACACAGTCGACGTATCTTGTTGAATGAACGTTTGGTTACTGAGAGAAGACCGTGTATGTACACTATGCAATTCATCTGCTGTAGGAGATACACCACCTCTTGAGGTGTGAAGCGACTTCTCTGTATCCCCAAAAAGTGTTATGTCTGTCTAAGTTTATGTAAATTAAGTAAAACATTATCATGATAACATATATTCACTTTTGAAATTCGAACCAGATTCATTGTACTTTAAAGTACGTTAAAGTGTATAATCACTTAAGTATGTTGCTATGTTGATCTTCATTGAATATATATAGTATGTTGCATAATAATGTATAGTCTTGTACCACCCATGGTGTTTTTTTGGGAAAATATACTAAACTGAACTGTTAACTTACACAAATATTTTTCATTTCTTTAATAGTTCTTTACACGCTGCCATAGACTGTTTGGACGGAATTATTACGGCGTGTAGTCAAAACCCTGACGTCCAAGGTTTCAGCAATATCATAAATTTGGATGGAGTCCGGAGCATGATAAACGACATGTGTGAGTACTCCTTGTCTGGGGTCACAGGTAGCCCAGTAGTGTATGGCGCAGTTAACTGATGTGCCCAGTTTCACCTGTAGTTGTATAGCACTGACAGTTTTATCACCAGCGAACCTCCACACACGGTTATATCACAACATTTCTTACTGTTGTTTGTTTGTTGTTTAACGCCACATTCGGCAATATTCCAGCTATGACGGTGGTCTGTAAATCATCGAATCTGGAACATGCAATCAGTGATTGACATTGTGAACATCGATTTATGCAATTTGGATTGCCGTGCATCAACCAAGTCAGCGAGCCTGACCACCTGATCCCATTAGTCGCCTCTTTCGACATGCACGGGTCGCTGAAGAACAATTCTAAACTCAATTCTTTTGAGAGATAGTACATGCATGTATGGATCTAAAAATTAACTCTTTCGAAATTGTATCACTACTTATTAATTAAATATAGATTCATCCCATTCAAATCTGTTCAATATTCTGTCTTACTACATATACATATAATTATGCTTAGCAGTCATTTACCAAACAAAACCCGAATATCATGTTCACACATCGATCATCGACGTCATCGGACCATTTGCACAGTAGTCAGAATTTGCATGAAGATATTTATTTATTTATTTATTTATTTATTTATTTATTTATTTATTTATTTATTTATTTATTTATTTATTTATTTATTTATTTATTTATTTTATTTTATTTCATTTTTTTATTTTTTTATTTATTTATTTTTTATTTTTTTTATTTTTTTTGGGGGGGGGTCGACCATTTAATATCGTGTGGTGGATGTGTGGGCTGGGGTGTGTGTTGGAGTTTTGTTCTTGGGGGTCTGGCAATTTTGTAAGAGAGACGATATCTCTTCAGTCACTGCTTCAAAACATACAATCGTTTTGCAGGAGCCGAACATTTCATTTTATTTTTTTTAATCTGACTTATATTTTCCAGTATTTTCTGGAAGAATTTTTCTTCTAAAAAAGTCTCAATCCCATCAAAATCATATGGTCGATCCCAAAGGAAAAGGTCCTCTGACGCATCATGCACCTGTACCCATGTTTATTATTTGTTAACAGGTACGACGGGTTCGGTGCAGCCTGGCCCAGGAGGTGGGTATAATAGTTCATAAGTGATGTGTGTCTGGACCTGATGGTGGGTTTTATAGTTCATAAGTGATAACAGTCTGCACCAGGAGGTTGGTATAGTTAAGAAATAAAACAGTGATTGTACGGTAAACAACCGTGTATGAGATATCAACATTATTTACACCCTCTTTAAGGATGCCTGTAAAACGTACACGCTTTAAAAATATTTACCCGTATTTATTTAATGATGACTCCCTGAGTGAGTGAGTGAGTGAGTATGGTTTGACGCCGCTTTTAGCAATATTCCAGCAATATCACGGCGGGGGATACCAGAAAGGGGCTTCACACATTGTACCAATGTCGGGAATCGAACCCGGGCGTGACGATCGAACGTTTTAACCACTAGGCTACCCGACCGCCCGATGACTCCCTGAATACAATCCCACCTCGGCAATGTCGGACAAGCTGGTCAGGGGGACTAAGTTTGATATTTCACGGATATTCTCACGATGTCCAAGGCAAGAATACCCTAATACAGATTGTCATATCTCTCCCGCTTTCGGATGCGATCGTTCGGCAATGGCATTTGTCTGTGTTGCCCTGCTACATCTATGGTTAATGAGTGATGTGTGTCTGCACCAATATTTGAGTGTTACAGTTTGTTTACGATGGGCGGCAAATTTACGTGCTGGGTAAAACAGTTCGTATATGATGGGCGGCAGGCTCGCGAGGTGGGTATAACTCACCATTCATCTCTGGAACGTAGTGACTATGCCACTTATACATATTCAGCGTTGTAAATCGTCAGGTCGATATATCTTTTCCTGTGTTTACCAATAGAGCCATTGCAAGAGCAAATAAATTCTAAAATTCTCCAGATCATAAAGTTTGAGTGAGTGAGTGAGTGGGTTGGGTTTTACGCCGCTTTTAACAGTATTACAGTTATATCACGGCGTGTCAGCTTAATGTGGGAGGAAAGCCCGAGGTGATGCAGGTCTGAGACGTTTACCACTTCGGTGAAACCCACGAGCACGGGTATGGTGCTGATAAACCTAGAAACATAATTGGGTCGAACCGGGATTCGAACCCACAATCATAGGTTTCTGGCGTGCCCAAGGGACGCAACTCTGCACAGCGAATCGCGGCGCCTAAGACGACTGGGCCACCCGTGCCCCCTCATAAAGTTTGATGCAGGTTCATTACTATTACTATATAATTACATTTTGCCGAGGGTACAATTGAATTATTTTTGTATGTATGACCGTTGATATCAAATATAATCGATGCATTTGATGCAATAGGACTATTTTAAAAAGAATGCTTTCTTTCATTATGTGGCCAAACGCGTCCTCCCATTCTTGCTCCGATTTTGTCATGTGTATTGTGAATTTTTGTGCACATTCGGTCTGGTGTGGGAGGCACAGGTGGTCCATATGCAGAGTTGCGTCTCTTAACCTACCAAAGATTCGCTGATAGTGAGTTCGAATCCAAGATTATCCCCGACCATGATCCTTAGGATGTCAGCGCCATTCCTGGTCTCACGTGTTTCACAAAAATGGCAAACGGCATTTTGGGCCTTCCTCTAATTTAGACTGACGGGCATTGATTATACACTGCGTAACTGTGCTTTTCTTGATTTCAGTTGACGCCAATTGCCCGTCGGATCACACCGTGGGTCTCACCAACTGTGTGAAGCCCATGCAAGATTTGAAGGAAAACCCACATCCTGACATGGAAGAGGCTTGTAGGTGAGTGAAATGAGAAGGCTTTTGGGAAACATTGGGATGGGGAGGCTTTGGGGTAACGTTGAAACCAGGAGGCCTTGCAACAACTCTGGAAGGGGTAGGTCTTGGGTGACGTTGGGGTGAGGAGGCTTTTGGGGAACGTTTGTATGCGGAGGCTTTGAGGTACAGCTTGGACGAAGATGCGTTGGGGTAACGTTGGGATGAGGAGGCTTTGGGGTAACGTTGGGATGAGAAGGCTTTGGGGTAACGTTCGGAGCGTTGGGAGCGGGAGGCCTGGCGACAACGCTGGAAGAGAGAGCAACAATGTTGGGAGTTGGGGCCTGGCGACAACGCTGGGAGGGAGAGGCCGGGCGACAACGCTGGGAGGGAGAGGCCGGGCGACAACGCTGGGAGGGAGAGGCCGGGCAACAACGAGGGGAGGGAGAGGCCGGGTGACAACGCTTGAAGGAAGACGCCGTGCGCTGGAGGCGTTTCGAAAATCCTGGGAAGAGGAGGACGAAGATGCGTTGGGGTAACGTTGGGATGAGGAGGCTTTGGGGTAACGTTGGGATGAGAAGGCTTTGGGGTAACGTTCGGAGCGTTGGGAGCGGGAGGCCTGGCGACAACGCTGGAAGAGAGAGCAACAATGTTGGGAGTTGGGGCCTGGCGACAACGCTGGGAGGGAGAGGCCGGGCGACAACGCTGGGAGGGAGAGGCCGGGCGACAACGCTGGGAGGGAGAGGCCGGGCAACAACGAGGGGAGGGAGAGGCCGGGTGACAACGCTTGAAGGAAGACGCCGTGCGCTGGAGGCGTTTCGAAAATCCTGGGAAGAGGAGGCCTTTGGATAACGTTGGGAAGGAGATTCTGGCGGAAATTGGGAAGTGAAGTCTTGATAAAAGATAAATAATCCATAAAACCTGAAATACCTGCAACGGGTTCCCTCCAATAATAAGGCCTCCCACGAAACAGTAAAGACATGTGGCAAAAATAGGGCAAGCATGGGCACCATCCACAGTCCCTTTCTTTAAAGCACACAAGTGATGTCACGTTGGAAACTAATGTTGGCATGGTGGTACTTTTGTTTAACTTCGACAAACCGGTCAAGAGATGTGTTGGTGTCTGTTTCTAGGGTGGCTAAAACTGGCCTGGACTGTTTGGATCCCATCCTGACCGCATGTTCCAACCAGCCAGATGTGAGGGCAATCAACAGTATACTCAACCTAGACAGTCTACGGGGCATGCTCAGTGAGCGTTGTAAGTAAAAGCAGTCGTCGTAAATCATAATAACCTCGATGAGTATGTAAAGAGGACGGTAAAGATGTAAGCAAGATGCTGAAGGGGATAGCACCGAAAATAACAACGTTATTCCATCGAATTCCGCCCAAGACAAAAAAGATTTCCTCATTTTACTTCCTTTCTACGAAAACCACTTTTGTGCCACTTTGGTAGCAGTAATTTAATGTTTTAAATCGAAATTTCGCGTTATTTCAATTATTGGTATATTTTCTCGAAATTCCGAGTTCTTTCTCGTTACTTCGAGTTTTTTTCTCGGTAACGAGAAAGTAAATGAGAAAATATAATTGAAGTAACGAGAAAAACCTCGAAATTTCGAGAAAATAAACAAATAATTGAAATAACGAGAAATTTCTATTTAAAATAGTATTTATGCTACCAAAGTGGCACCATTAGGCTTTCTTACTTTTCCACAACAGCCATTTTCACTCAAGTACTTTGCTTCATCTATTAAGGTGCCGCCTTAACTAGCAGCTCGGGCGACTCCTGCCACGTGGCCAACCCGACAGAAGAGCTTCTAAATTGCAACAATCAACTGCAGACTTTTGCAACGTCGAGTGGCTCACTTGCAGACAGATGCGGGTCAGTAAACTGTTAATCGTAAACAGCTGCAGCTGTCTTCAACAGGCATGTTTACGCATTTTGATATGTGAAGGCGTGCATGATGATGATGATGATGATGATGATGGAGGATGATGATGATGTTAGTAGTACGTAACCTTAAGCTTTTGGTGAATACAACATCAATACATCAAAATTATCAGCAGAGATTCCTCTGTCTCAAAATGCAGTGTTCTACTGAAGAGAGTTGTTCATAAGGTATTAAACGGGATTTGAAAAGATAAGCTTTCACAGCACTATTGTCAACAAAACTGACTTTTAAGGGTACTTGTGTTCAGCGTTTTCATTGGATAATATTGGTGTTATCTACAGGAAATCCAACTATTTTCAACTTTATGGAAACACTTTATTAAACATGAGTATTTCTTTTCACATTTATCAAGTAAAACTTATCTTATTTCTTCTAAGTTTAATCAGTGCAATTTTTCCAGATGTGTGAACGAAAAGAACAATTTCCGACACAAGATGACTTTTCCAAAACACGACCTAATGAGTAGTGTTATCATACCGGATCAGCATTAAAATTGTTCATATTTTGAAAATGTGATTCAATAGTCAATATACACAGGCAGTAACGTTCATGAATGAAAGTCGTTAAATACTAAACAGTGGTTTAAGATTGTGTACCAATCATGATGATAAGGGTTTTTTAGTTTTATTTCAAATGACATAGAAATTATATTTTGTAATTTGAGGTCTCTGTGAGTGTCTGGCTTCTTTCTTTGATTTCAATAGTTTCTCGAAGTTTCTTTTCTTGCCTGTGATTGGTGTTGGTACGGAAAACCTTGTTGCCAAGATCGTGGTCATGGATTACGTTTTTGCTTAAGCCAATATTCACTCGCCCTTTTTTCTGTGAGTTTCTGAAAACACCGTCTGTGATAACCAGAAGTTAGTCGCGCACACTGATGACATTTTGAAGCTATGTGTTTCTCCTGGTCGCCCAGGGCTGCTCAGACACTCAAAGATTCTGATAGCGTATTATTGCTTATGTCAGTAAATGGCAAAACTGGTTCATGCACACCATTAATAATGTGACATGCACATTCTCCATTCGTGACCAACTCGTGTTATTCCGGGACAAGCCGAATAGCGACGCGTGCCCCTCTCATGGCCATTTTTGCGACCGGGTTCCGTCTTAGCGCAAACGGGCATACCTAAAAAAATTGTCAACGCGTTACGTAATGGTTCACATATATTTCCCCATATATTATATATATTTCAGATGCAATTTAAAGAACATCTGGACATGCGGATTTATACAGTATGATTGAACACATTTAACTGTGTCTTGGGTATATTTTTAGATGCAAGACATACGTAAAATCAAAAATTATTTCTGAGGGATTCTTTGACGAAGAACTTGAAATCATACGCGCATTCTGATTGGTTTGTCGTATTTTCGCACATAACATTCATCGATAGGGGGACGAGTCTTCTTGCAGGTTACGGAAAGGGGCGAGTGGTGACGAATGGCCCCTTCTCTAGTGGGCGTCACCATCTTTGTTAGACGGGCTGAAGCAAGGCTCAATGCTCATTGGCTGATATGACATGGTAGCAAACGTAACAGTGTACACAATCTGGTAGATTAAAATGAAGATTGAAAGTTACCAAACCTGCATTTTCACAAGAACAATGGTGTTTTAAAAATGGAAAGAAATGCCATTCACCTTCACGCCTGAAGCACAATGATAGAATTTTATAGGTCGGCCCACAGTCTTTTGTGTTTAGCGTCTGTTTGAACAGTCTTTCACATGTGTCGCTCTTTGTCGTACCAGCTTTGAATAACTGATCGGCGTCGACCAGAATGTGCAATCGTAGTGTTTTCTGTTTCAGGGTGCTGTTTGAGAGCCTGGATTGTTTCGACAGACTGATTGCCAACTGCCCCAGTGATCCCGCCGTCGTCGCTTTCACCGACATGTTAGATATGGGCGAAGTACGGGACAGCCTGTCCGGTACCTGTAAGTAACATGTGTGCTCACTGATATCGTAATTAAAAGATGGCAAGGCGAAATGTGCTTAAATGTCTAATAACGGGGTTCGAGGGGTCGCAATGGCCTATAGGTAGGCATTCTAACTGTAAAAGAGTACTTTGATGTTCTTTGAGGAAGTTATTAAGTGAGTGAGTGAGTGATGGTGTCTACTTGATTTGGGAGGGAAGCTCGAAGTGATTCAGGTCTTAGACGTTTACCCTTTGGTGAAAACCACAAGCACGGGAGTGATGCTGACAAACTTAAACATAATCGGGGCGATCCTAGGTTTCTGGGACGCACAAGCACGGATTTGGTACTGACGAACCATGTATGGAGTATGAGGTCCGTGGAACCTGGCCATGGAGATTTTGTTGAAGAGTCGACGTACAGGATAAAAGACATCCGATGTTTTTTTGTAAATCTCATAAAACAAGGAAAGGGAGCTTTTTATCTTATTTATAAACCGAAAGAAAAATCTGAAACAACATTTATCAAAAGTGTCGTTTCAAACATGAACGTTAGCTATCGGACGCAAAATATATCCTGCTGTCGCTAGCATAGAGGCTCAGGCTACAGATGCAAGGGTTGCAATTTCGAGCGACTGAAATCCAAAATCAACGGGAGTTTGTGTGTGAAGTCAGGGGGATGTTATATATATAATCCCTGGTATTGCAGAGGTTAGGTGTTTGATGAGATATTGAGACAATGACAGACAATAGGATCACGTCACGGGGGATGTTATATATATAATCCCTGGTATTGCAGAGGTTAGGTGTTTGATGAGATATTGAGACAATGACAGACAATAGGATCACGTCACGGGGGATGTTATATATATAATCCCTGGTATTGCAGAGGTTAGGTGTTTGATGAGATATTGAGACAATGACAGACAATAAGATCACGTCACAGGTGATTTATAGCAACGGATAAGAAGTTTACGTTTAAGTATGAAATGTAATTTAAAGCTACTAACCGACACCGAGAGGTGTGCAATGCACGAACACGAGTGTTCATCTAACTTCAGACCGCCTCCGTGGTCTTGTGGTAGAGCGTGTGTCCTGAGACCGGAAGGTCGTGGGTTCTATCTCCGGCCGCGTCATACCAAAAGACGTAACAAATTTGTACTTGTTGTTACCCTGCCTGCCTTTCGTCATTAAAGGGTAAAACAAGGACTGGTCGGCTGGAAGTCAGTATACTGTGTCTGAGCGGGTATCCATACTAAACTGTGGCATGTTATCTCATCCTGCTTGCACTATAAAATCGGCATTAGTCCGGGCGAGTACACACACAAAGAAACAAACACACTCACACGTGTTTGCACGTCGCAATATAAATGCAATAATCTTAAACGTGACGGTAGACCCCATTTCACCTCACCTCATCTAACTTCAACCACAAGGTCAAGGTTAGTAACTGTGTTACATCAGCAGAGAAGAATAAACTTTCACGTTTTATCTGTTTGAACACCTGTGCACGTGCAAATGAACATCTGTGCACCTGTGCACGTGCAGCTTCTATTGTAAGGCAGGTGATTCACGGATATGTGACAAACAACTGAGCTAGTGTATGAACGTCGATATCTGTCTTTCCCACAGGCCCCGGAAGAAAGTGAGAGAAGACGTTACTGGTAGGAGGTTCAAGAAGAGGTCCAAGAAGAGGTTCAAGCAAATGTCCAAGGAACCTTCACTGTCGACCTCATCCATTGTTACTCACACTGCATATATGTTACCCATATTGGTAACCCTAGGGAGGTTACAGCAGTCGCTTTATGCCGATATACTGTTTTAGAAATCCTGTAATTTCATTGGTTAAAGACGATTGACCGGAACTACGTTTTCCATTCATCATTTCTGACATACAAAACTTGTCATTTATAGCTTAAAGCCTTTCTCAAAACTATAATTGTTATTATTCCAAATAAAATACCATTCACGCATGTTATTTACGATAATGAAAAACACAAAACATGAAAACTAATTAAGATTTGTAAATACATTAAATTTGATTGAATAAATCGTCTGCAAAACCTGCATGTTAACAACAATGTCGACATATTGTTGAACAGTTTTAATTTCAAGCTGAGCGACAAGTCCCTCATTTTAGACTAAATGCAAGAAATACCAGAAAGAATGAAAAAAAAATATCGGAATACCCAATGCTGAAACAATAGCGTAGTCGCGGTATAAAACAAAATCTATGACAGCGGGCGAGCGATGGAAAGACCACGTCATGAAAGATCTTTCAAATAAACCTTACTTTTTTGTAGAATCAGCTTACACAGTTTGTTGATGAGAATGAGCAGACCGACAGGAGTTTTGGTTTTCTTTTCGTAGTTATGAGAGCTAGCAGTGACTGACGGCCATGTCAACCGAGAACTACTGACAGTTTGAACCTATACGTGTTTGAATTGTGTATTAACAACAATGACAAGTAGGTTTAGTTTCATTGTTGTATTATTATACTTGATTCAAAATATATATATATCGCCAAGATTAATTAAATTGTTTAAATTGTCAAAGGATTAATGCCGTTCAAACGAACTATTTCGCATTCGCAGATCTTAGTGTTGATCGAGTATAGGCTGTGTGATCAGGTAAAATTTTCTAGAAATCAATGCCGTTTCACACGCGTATGAATATTATGAAACGCGACTTCATCTCTGTTATAAAAGAAATATTTTTTTCTTTTTAGCTTCTTGTTTTAAAACTTGACGATGGGTAATAAAAACAATAAACTAGAGAGTAGGAAATAAACTAGGAATGACGCATGCCCATCGTGAAATTAATGTTGAAAGTCCCGAGCCTTGTACTTTATCATAAGGCCTAACCTAATTTACTTGGAATTATTTACCGTATAGTGCCCACTGTATATGTGTTGATAGGGGAACGTGCCCAGGGTCCATACCACCACAACCTCAACACATCGACCCTATATAAATACTCTGAAGTCAGTTGCTTAAACTAAAATAATGGTTTGAAGTAAATGGCACCTATATTTAAGTGTGTGTGTGTGTGTGTGTGTGTGTGTGTGTGTGTGTGTGTGTGTGTGAGCGTGTGTGTGTGTGTGTGTGTGTGTGTGTGTGTGTGTGTATGTATGTGTGTGTGTGAGCGTGTTTGTGTGTATTTAACTTTATACAAAATCATCACCTCTCTTAATTCAATTCATTGCCGATTTGTATGGTAACCGAGAGGGACATCTCTTTCTCGCCTTCAGTTACGTCCGCGAGAAAGTGATAACACGAAACGAGGTAGCGATAACATGAGACGAGAAAGCGATAGCACGGGACGAGAAAGCGCTGTTTCCCATAATGCCGTACATTAAAAAAGGTTTTTGCTGGTATCCAGTGATCCATTCCTACAATTTTCACCGCTATTTCGCTTATATGACGGCGGTCTGTAAATAATCGAGTCTGGACCAGACAATCCAGTGATTGATATCATGGTCATCGATCCACGCAATTGGGATCGATGACATGCATCAACCAAGTCAGCGAGCCTGACCACCCGATCCCGTTACATGTAGTCGCCTTTTACGACAAGCATAGTCACCTTTTACGGCAAGCATGGGTTGCTGAAGACCTATTCTACCCCGGATCTTCACGGGTCAGCCAAAATCAGAGCCTTCAGCGGGAGGAAAGGGAGAAATACGCAACGACTTGCTAAGTAATTTATCACATTCATGCTACCTAAAACAAAAAAACAAAAAACAAAAAGAAACTTTGATTTATTTTTATAGGATACCCAAATAGGTGGTATTAAGGTGATATTTAACTGATATATTAAGATGACATAAAAGTTATACATACTGAACAACAAAAGTTCCTGTGACATTGAATAAAATTTAATGCAAAGATATGTTTTTTTACCAAATCTGAAACAATGGACTGACTTCAGAAAATGCGTGATTTCATTAAACAAAAAAAAACCAAACATGAACATGCCAAAATGTCAATTTACAAATCTATAGCGTGTGTGTCCACCTCTGATGGCGATGCAAGCAACACATCTTCGTCTCATGGAATGGACCAGGCGTCGCATAAAGTCCTGTGGGATATCTGTCCATATCTGCTGGAGCATGTTTCGAAGTTCCTGGAGTGTCTGTGGAACACGTAGTTGACGTCGAAGGCGCCGATCCATCTCATCCCACATGTGCTCGATTGGTGAGAGATCAGGGGAGCGAGCCGGCCAGGGGATGACATTCACGTTGTTTTGTTGAAGAGAATCCTGAACAAGTCGAGCAATATGAGGCCGGGCGTTGTCATATTGAGAGGTAATGCCTGGGCCATGACGACGCAAAAACGGTAGAACAACAGGGCCGATGATCTCGTCGCGGTAGCGCTGTCCATTGAGTTGTCCCTCTACCACTATCAAACGGGTCCTCTCTGTCTTGCTGTAATCCCACCGCATACCATAACGCTGCCGCCCCCGAACCGATCTTCTTCCATGACACAACGTAACGTTCACCTCGACGTCGGTACACTCGAATCCGCCCATCGCTGTGGCTGAGGTGAAAACGACACTCGTCAGTGAATAGAACTTGTCCCCACTGCATGGCCGTCCAGCGTAGACGCTGTCTGCACCACTGTAGACGTGCTTGACGGTGGTTTCCTGTCAAAATGGGACGTCTGGCGGGTCTTCTGGCGACAATACCTGCATATCTGAGGCGACGACGTACGGTTTGTGAAGATATTCGTCGAAGGCCAGGGATGCTTCTTGCAGTCACTGTTGCTGGCTGGAACCGATTTCGTAGTTGCGCTGTTCTAATCCAGTTGTCTTGTCGATTATTGGTTACGCGTGGCCTGCCACTACTAGGATGGTCTCTGACTGCATTCGTCTGTTGCCAACGTTGCCATAAACACCAAATGGTGTTTCTGTGGACGTTAAATTGTCTTGCAACATCACGTTGACTCGATCCTGCTTCAAGCATACCAATGGCTCGCAGACGCTCATTTTCGGACAGGCTTGGCATTTCGTAATGTTGAATAATTGCGTAATTTTGTTGTTTTTCTGAGTGGTTGTTGTCAGCACGATGCTAAACAATGCATATGGAATCCCGTTAACGCACATGTTTTTATACCCATTCTTGGGTAGTGAAATGCATGGGGCTTGCATAAAAGTCAACTTTTGCATGGAATACATGCTTTTCTGTAGCAGTTGCGTTTTTGTGACTTGATTCAATACATGAAGTACAATATTGAAACCCAAAAATACACTTAAATATAGATGTCACAGGAACTTTTTGTTGTTGAGTATATATTTGCCGTTTACATTGCGACATTGTTTAAATATGTTTGAAACCACAGCAAGGCTACTCATTCGCAACATGCTATAGCAGCAGACCTTGAAGGACCCTTCAGTTTATCAGTTTACAGCAACCACATGCCTTTTTGTGGGGACAGGATGGTTGGAGAATTGCAGGGGACTGAGGCGGCAAGCTGATTGTACAGACAGATAGGAGAGACCATTTGACAACTGAAAACCCCTATTCCCCAAAGTATGAAGTAAATTAGCAAGATTCACAAACACTACAACAGAAGGTCTTTCACACTACTTTATTTCGCAAAAACTCCACAGAAAGTCCGCGAATAATTTGCGATTTTTTGCGAAACTGAATTGAGCCTTTCATTGGAGTTACTAGTTTTCGGCCTAAGCTGCATGACAGCTTGACAGAGGGAGACAGACAGACAACACACCCACCCACATACATACATTTGACAAAACTATACTTAAACTATACATCAAATATTAGAATGACAGCTGATTTAACCAATGTTAGTAAAGCGCTTCATTTTGTCACCAACGTTTACTGTGTGCCACACTAACTAGGATGTCTCTCCATATGTGTAGTTTACCCAAGTACTTATATCGACTGTGAGAACACCATTGTTACAGCGATGGGGGAGGGGAGGTAACCTAGTAGTTAAAGCGTTCGCTCGTCACGCCGAAGACCCAGGTTATTTTCCCCACATGGGTACAATGTGAGAAACCCATTTCTGGTTTCCCACCCCAGAATATTGCTGGAATATTGCCAAGAGCCAAAACCATACCCACTCACAAAGGTGTTTATCAAATTACGATAAGTACATATACATGTAGATTGTAGTAGACAAGAGACACAATACAAGTTGATCATAAATCAAGTGTCAAAAAGAGTATTTATGGACAGCAGTATTTTGGCATTAAAACGGAAATAGGGGCGGTCGGGTAGCCTAGTGGTTAAAGCGTTCGCTCGTCACGCCGAAAACCCGGGTTCGATTCCCGACATGGGTACAATGTGTGATGCCCATTTCTGGTGTCCCCTGCCGTGATATTGCTGGAATATTGCTAAAAGCGGCGTAAAACCATACTCACTCACTCACACGGAAATGCCATATACTACTTAACACAAGTTAAAGAACACCAAAATTATAACACTGATAAACCGCAGCCATGTGAACGAATCGGGTGTTCTTTAACTTATTGTGAATAGTATATATTTATATTTTAACCTAATTTATTTAGAGAGTATTGCCATGTCCCGCCACGCGCTGAGGCCGAAGTGATGCAGGATAACGAAATGTTGACTTACAGTGTCCGGACTAACGGGTTGTTGACTTACAGTGTCCGGACTAACGAAATGTTGAATTACAGTGCCCGGACTAACGGGTTGTTGACTTACAGTGTCCGGACTAACGGGTTGTTGACTTACAGTGTCCGGACTAAAGGGATGTTGACTTACAGTGTCC